TGATTGATTGTAGAGATGAGGCCTCGCTGCCCAGGCGGGTCTCGAACCCGCGGGCTCAGGCCATCCCCTCACCTCAGCCTCCCAAAGGCATGGGATTACAGGCTGAGCCACCGAGCCCGGCTAGCATGTGTATTTTAAAAGCTGAAAACACACCCTCTCCCCGCTTGAAGCGCCTCCATTGAAGGCTGCCTCCTCAGAGAGTCCCCAGACTGCCCCTATGTAGACTGACCGCCCATGCCCTGACTCTTCTGTTCTGTTGTTCTCTGCCTCCTTTGTGTCTTCTGCTCAGGACACCTCCATTTGATGCAATGCACACTGTAAGGAGTCTACCCTGTGCAGAGACACCTGGTGTGACCCCAGGGGGCGACAAGGTGGGATGCAGAGATGGACAGACACGGTCCCCTCCCTCATAGAGCTTAGGGTCTGACGGAAGAGCAGGACAACAATGTCCCATCATCCAAGAACATGAAAAAACTGCCCCCCAAAAGGCCCAAGTCACCAGTCTTGGATAGTCAAGATCGAAGCAATTCTGACTGGGGAACTCGAAGAAAGACAGCAGCATGTGGCAGGCAGAGAAGAAAGGGCATTCCTGGCAGGGGGCCCACGTGGGCAAAGGCCCAGCAGCACAGCAGGTTTCAGACGGAAGCCAGGACTGCGAGGACCCAGGTCGGGTGACGGGAGAGGAAGGGAGTGAGGCTACATCCGCGAGGGCCTTACACACCGGGCTGCAGACACTGGGCCTGCTTCTGTGGACAGGGGCACCTCTGGAGGTTTTCAAGAAGGAAACAGACTCTGCCAAGAGGGCAGCCTTGGCTTCACCGTGCTTGTGGCCATGCGGAGCTCACGCTGGGTGCAGAGCAGATGCAGACAGAGGGGTTTTACTTCACATAATCTGTGGATCTATCAAAAAAACCCGCCCGCCCACCCACACACACAGATTCCAAAGCTCCGTTCTGGGGCTTTAACTGACCTTTGTCCTGCACCAGCACCTCCAGCTCCTCCCGAACACCATCGTACCAGCCCGTGATGTCCACGTGGAGGGAGTAGTCGCAGCAGGACTTGGTGTCGGCTGCTTCGTGCCACTTCTCGAAGGCGGTCAGCAGGCTGGACCCAGGTTCGGGAACGACGTGGTCAACTGGGACAGAGAAATACGCGTCACGATGCTCAGGACCAAGTGTTCCGATGGTGGCCATGTCACCACCAGCAGCATCCTCACCGCCATCGTCAGCGATGCCCGTCCCCACCAGGACCATGACCGGGACCACCGTCAGCCCCACCACCCCCACCGCCACCACCATGCTCATGGCCGCCCCCATGATCACCATCACCCCATTACAACTAACGCTGTTGCCGCCGCCGCCACCACCACCACCCCCGTCATCAACACCATCGCTGTCAACACCCACTCCCGCAGCACTCTCGCCGCCATCACTGCCACGGCCGTCACTGTCACCATGACTGCCATCACCACCACCACTGTCATCATCGTTGCCATCACACAACTCATTATCAAATGCTCACTGTGCATCAAACACTGCCCTGAAGGCTTTACAGACATTGTGTCCTTTGATGCTCACAGCCATCTTATGAAGTGAAAATCAATAGCCCCGTTTTACAGATGAAAAGAAACTGAGGCTCAGAGAAGACGAGGAACTTGTCGGAGGTCACACAACCAGTGGGTAGAGAGAACACTTTCTGAGACCTGTCAGACAGTCTGAACTCTTTTTTTTTTTTGAGTTGGAGTCTCACTCCGTCGCCCAGACTGGAGCGCAGTGGCCGCTCCCGGTCCCTGCAGCCTCGACCTGCTGGGCTCCGGCGATCCTTCCGCCTCAGCCTTCCAAGGAGCCGGAATTACAGGCGCGTGCTACCCCGCCCGGCTGATTTTTTGATTGATTGTAGAGATGAGGTCTCGCTGCCCAGGTGGGTCTCGAACCCGCGGGCTCAGGCCGTCCACCCACCTCAGCCTCCCAAAGGCGCGGGATGACAGGCGGAGCCACCGAGCCCGGCTCCATCCGAACTCTTACCCACCCTTCAGCCTGCTTTCTTGGCGCTGAAGGCCCAGAGGAAGAGGGCTCCAGGGAATACGCAGGTGGCCTTCATCATCCCTTTTTCCCAAAAACCTGGTGTGAAGTCGACCCGAGGGGAGTCTCTGTCTTTTGAACGGGCCTTGACTCGCAGACCCGGCAGCCGCCGCCCTGGGTCTCTCCACACCCGCCCTTCACGGCCAGCCATCACGAAGAGCAGTCTCTGCACCCTCCTCCCTCTCGCTCCTCCACCCACCAACGCACCAGGCTTTGCGGACTGGACCCGCACCCTCCGGGTCTCACAGAAGCACGCGGCCCTCACTCTCTGGGCCTCAACTTCGCTCCGCTGCGGCCTCCAAGTCAACACAACCTTCTGGCTTCCTGCTCACTTCTGAGCCTGCTGCTCCTTCCTCTCCCCAGGGACTCTCCCTCCTCCACTTGTCCACGGAGTGGCTGAACCCCTGAAGCCTCGGCCCGAGAACGTGTCTTCCTACGCGCCTGCTTATGGAAATGTGCCCCGGCCTCGGCGCCAGAGTCAGTCGCATCCCTGACATCTCCACTAGATGATCAAACACCCCCCAAAACAAAATGTCCCAAGCCTCTGGCCATATTGTCCTCTCCCCACCCCATCGGCAAAGCTGCCCCAGCCCCGCCCCGCGGTGAGGACATGGCCACCTGGCAGCGCCACAAGCCACAGTTGCGGGTCACCCTTGGCTCTTCCTTTCCCTTGCACGTGCCCCGACCTAATCCAGCACTAGGTTCTGTGGATCCCCCTCCTCCAGATCCCTGGAGCTGTCCACGTCCACCCACTCCATGGTCACATCATCCTCACCTCTCAGCTGAGCTACGCCATCACCTGCAAATGGTCCAGCCACATCCCATACGGGCCACGCTACTCTGTCCTCTTCAAAACCCAAAACAGATCGCCTCACTCCCTTCTCAAAGTCCCTCAGTGGCTGCCCATGGCCCGTATGAAAAAACAAGTTGTCACCGCGGCCATTGAGGCCCAGCACCATTCTCTTTTTCCGGCCTCACCCCACACGACTCCATTCTTCCATCTCTGCACTCCTGCCTTGCCACCCTTCTTTTGGCCTGTGAAACGGGAGGTGTGTTTTCCCGCCCCAGGGCCTTGGCACTTGCTTCTGGGTGCCTCCTCCTGGAGCTTGGCTCTTCTCCACCCTTCCCACCCAGTTAATTCTGCCACATCCCTCAGACCCCTCTTTGGATGTCGCTTCTTTAGAAAAGGCTTCCCTGAGCCCTTGCTCCACGGTCCAAAGAACTCTACACCTCTCCTCTGTAGCGCCAGCCATGGTGCACAGTCGCGCGTGTGGGTGGTGAGTGACACCCTGTGAGACGCCACACCCCTGAACAACAAGCATCGCTTCTGCCTGTTCACAGTGCCTGGTGCAAAAGGACGCTTAATCAACATGTGTTGAATGAGAAATGGGGTGAGGACTCAGGGCTTCTCCGCCCCCACTCAGATCCCCCCAGCGGTGGTCCTCAGGGTGCTTGCAGAGGTTTCGGGAGTTCTGTGAAACACACATCGAACGCTGCCGATCACAGGCAGGAGGAATGACCCAGGGCCCTGAAGCTGGGGCTGGGGAACAGCAAGGGCGGGCCCCAGGGTCTGGCCGCTGGTTTGGGGCTCTGTACCCTGCTCTGTGCGGGTCTCCTGGGCCAGAACCTCCGTCCCAACCTCTCAGAGCTCTCACGCGCCACGCACTGCCCCAAGGAACTCATGTATGGCTCCCAACGGCCCCAGGGGCGTCTGAGCGTGAAGCCCGTGTTACAGACGGGGAGGTGGAGGCCCGGAAAAGCTAAGTGCCAGCCCGCAGGCATGTAGCTGCCAAGCAGCTGGGGTCAGGTTCAGGCCCTGGCCACTGGGATCCAAGTCAAGGCGGCCCAAGTCCAAGGCCTGGGCTCCTCCCACTTTCCCACACAGCAGATTCACGGGCTGCCCTTTGCAGGAGGGGTCAGGACAGCGCCTGCCTCCTGAGCTGAGCCCTTCCTTGAGGACACAGGGCAGCTGGGATGCAGGAGTGCCCCCAGGACCATGGGACCTAGCCCCCCAGCTGCACTTCCAAAGGGACTCCCAGGAGGGAGAGAGTTGGGCCTGCCTGGACAGCCCACAGATGAGCCGCCTGGAATGGGAGAGCCTGACAGTTGAAAGGTCACTGACAGTCAACGGTTGCCTGGGTCTGTGAAAGCACCTATTGAAATGGAATCTGAGCAAAAGCACCCATGCAGAGAAGAATCGAAAAGAGCCAAGCTGCAGAGGGCAGGAGAGGAAGGGTCCCGCCCCCCAGACAGGCTGCCGTGGTACGGGGCTACCATCTGTCCACAGTGTTTCCTTCTGTCCCTCACCTCACTGTGCTTCACTGTGGCAGGACGCCCTCCCGGCCACCCCGGACTTGGCCTGGTGCCTGGCTTTGGTCCGAAGAAGGGGCTGAAAGCCACAGCACTGACGTGAGGAGGATGAGGTGGGGGGAGGAGAGGCCAGTCTCAGCCAGGTGCCCTCGCCCTCCCCCTCACCAGAACAGAATGGCCAGGCAGCCATCCGTTCCAGAACTGGAGAGCCAGCCTGCCCCCAAATCCAGCCCACAGCTGAGCAGAGCCCCTCCAGCCCCCAACCACCCTCCTGCAGCCCCAAAATGAGAAAGACAAGGGTTGCTTGAGATTTGGGACTGTTGGTTATGTGGCACTATCACAGCATCACTGCCACGGTGCTGACCCACGCAACCATTCCCAGCTGGGCTGCCTTGGGCAAGGTGCTTCCCCTCTCTGAGGCCTTTCCCGTCTTTCATAATCATACCCAGGTCACTGGTTCTGAAACTTGAGCCACCTCCACATCCTGGTACAGGATTTTCTTTTTTTTTTTACTTTGTCGCTCTACAATCCACGTCTTTACTTAATACGTTTCTTCAAATAAATTCCGTTTCTAAAAATCTAAATCCTGGCTTCAATCTCATCCTAAGCAATAACACCCACAATATGCCAGTTATCGTATTTAATACACATTACAATAACTTTTGTAAATGTTAATGTCCGTATTGCTGGTAAACCATCCTATATATCACAGCGGCACATGCAAAAACGCCTTGTAAAATATCGACCTGATGGTAGGGTTGCAGTGAGAATAACAGTCAAAAGCGTCTCTAGCCTGGCGTACACCGAGCCACTCGCGACGCCGGCAGAACTCACAGCCCGCGTCCCCAAGGCAGGGGACCGTGCCACTCACTGATCATCGTGGTCCCGCCCACCAGCGCTGCCCTGGTCCCTTGGAAGAAGTCGTCGGCTGCGGTCATCCCCTGGCATGGCTTCTGCAGGCACGTGTTGACGTCGATGCCTCCAGGAAGAACCATCCGCCCATTGGCTTCAATGGTCTTCACTCCCCCAGGAACGATTAAGTTCTCTCCTATTTGCCTGGAGGTGAACAACAGAGAAGGGCTTGGGTTCTTGAAAGAAAAATAAAGCGAGCAGACAACAGTGCAACTTCAGCTCTACGAAACCAACTTTTCTGAGCCAGGCCCTTCCCAAGGCCCTGGGTAAACAGAGAGAACTCAGGCCGGGACCCTGCCCTCAAGGGGCTCACAGTCTAATGAAGAGGAAAAGCAGGTGAGCGGATGGCTCGAACCCAGGACAGCCGAGAGGAAGCAGCGCGGGGGGGCCGTTTCGCCCAGCCTGGTTATCTGGGAGAGCGTCCAGAGGGAGGCGAGGCGGAGCTGAATCCAACAGGGGTGAGACCAGGCTCCACCAGGTGATGGAGGGTTGTCTGAATCACCTATCAGTCGCTCTAGAACTTTATACACACTTTCGGCAATGCCCTCGGGACTGGAGAGGAGAGCCATTGCAGCAAGGCAGCGAAGAGCCCCCTTGGCTCTGCAAGCTTCTAGAAACACTGCTACGGGCCAAAATGCATCCTCTCAAAATCCTTATGTGGAAGCCTTAACCCCCAGGACCTCAGGCCATGACTCATTTGGGGACAGGGCCTTTAAAACAAGGTCATTAGGGTGGGCCCCACGCCAAAGGGACTGGGGACTGAGACTGGGGCTGAGATTAGGACACACACAGACGTAGAAGGAAAACCACGTGGACCCAACACCACCCCCACCTGGACCTCAGACCCCAGCTGCCAGCGCCGAGGGAGTGGATTTCTGACCCTGACCCTAACCTGTTTGTGGAGCTCTGCTGTGGCAGCCCTGGGACTCAGATGCGGGCAGGCGACTGGGGTCTCATTTCAGCAGGACACTCGTGAACACTGGCCTCAGGAAAGGGCCTCCGCCTCTCCCATACACCACATAACGCTACCCCCCCACTGAACCTGCCACGGGGGAAGCACACTGGGGCGGGGGCTGTCTGAACGTGCAGACCATCACGTCTGTTTCCTGACACAGCAGGCGCCTGAAAACTTCCTCCAGAAGGAGGGGAAATCCCAAGCAGGGGAAAGAACCCAGGAAATTAGAAGCCAGGCCGCCAGGACATCAACACAAGGGACTTATCTGATGACCAGTGTCGTCTGGGTTTTACTTGCAGGAACCAGAGTCAGGACGTATGTCAAGATGCTGGAGGGAGAGGCCCTACAGCAGGAAAGGGGCACAGGAGCTTCCAAGGTCAATGTCAGGGTCAAGCAATGAGATCTGACCATGAACAATTTTTTTTTTAGAACCTGCTGTTCTGAACTCTTGAAGTCAGGCAGCATATTAATTTCTCTAAATCTCATAAAATCACCAGTAATAAAGACATAGGAAAATACTGCTTCAGTGACCAAAATGTCAGGCCCTGAACAGAATCCACAGCCAAGGTGGCAAAGGTGGACACCTCTTGGTCTTCTAGACCCCTGGGTGTGGCCGGTCCTGGCCAATCGGAGGCGACAGCGGGGACAGTCGCTCTTCCACTGACCTGGGGCATCACGCACTGTCCTCCCAACAGCAGAAACAAACCTAGCAAAGGCAGAGCCGGGAAATGTTAGCTCTCATGCCCATGACCACCAGGATAACCACTGCTGCTCCTTCGAACCCACAAGCCCTCCCCCCAGAAGGTGCCCCAGCCTCAGTGGAACACCCACTGGAGAACAGAGACTCTTCTAAGTAGATCACGGATGATCTCATTTAACGTCCACAACTAGCTCTTAAAGAAGACAGGGTAACCGGGCATGGCGGCTTGCCTCTGTAATCCCAGCGCTTTGGGAGGCTGAGGGGGGAGGATTTCCTGAGCCCAGGAGTTGGATACCAGCCTGGGCGACATAGCGAGACCTCATCTCTACAAAAAAAATAAAAAGTTAGCTGGGCATAGCGGTGCATACCAGTGGTCCCAGCAACTCGGGAGGCTGAGGTGGAAGGGCCGCCTGAGTCCCGGAGGTCGAGGCTGTGGTGAGCCGTGACTGCACCCCTGCACTCCAGCCTGGGCAACAGAGCGAGGCCTCGACCCCAAAAAGATGGGGTAACGCACAAAAGACGACTGCCCAGCAAAGGCACAGACGTGGCCGGATCAGACGGGGCACTCGCTGGAGACGCACGTCTGGAGCGTCTGCATGTGGGCACGGCCCTACCTGTGAGTACTGGCAGAGCCGCGGCACAGCCTGCCTGGAGCCTGTGACTCAGTCATCGTGTTCAGGGGGGCAACGCGCACTCCCAGCCCCGTTTCCAGCAGACACGATCCTACCCTGTCCAAGCCCTCTCTGATCTCCCGCCAGCAACCCGTGAGGCAGAAGACATTCCCGCTTTGCACAAGGAACTCAGAGAGGTGTGATGACTTGTCCAAGGCCGCGCAGTGAGTCGGTGATGGGCCTGGATTCTAGCCAAGGGCTCCCCGGGGCTGACGTCAGGGATCTGCCCACCAGACTTGACTGCCTCCACGCTTCCCTTAAGTGGGCATAGCAGATTCTCACCAAGCCGGGATCTAACTCAAAGGGACCCCCAAGCAATCAGGAAGACTCCACGAACAGTGCTCCCTAGTAGCGTGCATGGAAGGGAAGGAGAGAGGAGAAAGGATCACTTGGTGAATCTGTTGACACTCCCTCTCCCAACACCATGCCCCGCATTTGGAATAAACTCGGTGACTCGCATTTGATTCACCAACGCGTAGCGAACTGGATGGAAGCCTCGAAGAATCATAAGCCGACAAATGAATCATCACGCTGGAAAACGGCCACGAAATAAAAGGGCTCTTGGGGTTTCATTGAAGTGAAGGCGCACAATTGTGCCTCTGAGTGCCAGGCGGTCCCTGAGGTCAGCACCGTGGGCTCTGGGCCCGCTCTCCTACCCCACACTTCTCAGCCGGCAGGACTTGTGCTCGCAACGGCCGTCTGGGGACCCTGTGAGGTCCTGGGTGGCAGTCACTCACTCAGCTTCACAAGGCAAAGTGGGAAGGGGCTGCCAGCGCTTGGAGAGCTTTGCGGAAACGGGATTCAGATAAAAAGGGGTTTCTGACTAAGAGGCGCTGACAGACACTGGATTTAGGGAAATCGCACATTTCCCAAACAGCCTGGGTAGCCAGAGTGCTGGGGCGCTAGGTGTTCGTACATACAGCAGGTGCTTAATAAATGCAGCTCAACCCATGGTCACTTGCTGCATCTGTTTAACTCCTGGGACTGCAAAGCTCTAGGGAGGGGTTGGCCCGAGAAGGATGGGGTGAAAGTGGCCAGTTCCAACTTGGAGCAGCAGGTGGCTCGTGGGATTGGTGATCCCGCAAGTTGGTTCTCAGGGTGATTTTGCCTTCATTCCTAGGACCCCAAGACCACCACACAAAGGGGCTTCCCCAGAGCTGTTTTCTCTCTGAGCAGTGGCTGAGTTAGGAACCCTCATTCTCTGACACACCGCTGCCTTCACCCCCTTTCTGGTCCCAGGCTGTCTCGAGACAGCCATTCGATTCACCCACGCACAGTGCATTGGATGGAAGCCTCCAAGAACACGGACTGACTAAGGACTGAACCAACATCCTCACCACCGGATGGCCAAGACTCCCACGACACTTTCCCTGAATCTACACTGCTGGGCGCCGGCCCCGGGCCAGGCATAGAGCTGGGACTGGGGTGGGGGGCAACACGGCCAGGTCCCGGTCGAGGGGCAGAGGCAGCATGAGGATGGCGGTGACAGACGGCAGCCCGCAGGCTGGAGGGACAGGGGGACGCATCCCGCATGGTTTCAAGATCAGGGAAGGCTTCTTGGAGGAGGAATCCCAGGAGCTGGTCCCAGAAGCAACAACGAAGCGTTTAGGACAGGTGGAGGGGCAGGGACGGGGCGGGGCGGTCCAGGCAGGGGATGGACGGGGGCGAGGCTGCAAGGCGCGAGCAGGTGGCCACTCCTGGGGTCCCCAAGGGTTCATTACGGGCAAGAACGGGCGAGGATGGAGCTGGAAGAGGGGAGGCCTGGACCGCACTTGGAACGGTCTGAGTCCGGGACTAGAGCTGCCGGGGGGACCTGGGGGGAGGCAGGGAAGGGCTCAACCATCTGGGCACTTGGTGCACATGTGCGGTCTCTTCCAGCGCCCCTGGTGACCCACCGCCTCCTCCCGCCACCCT